CTGCAGTTCCTCGACTCTCACTAAACTCTCCCTCTCATAACCCCTCCGCCACACCCTCTCCAGTACCCCCTACCACTCTGTGTCGATCCCCTCTCGTGCACCCCGAGTCTCAAGCCGTCGCTTAATCGAAGCCAATGTCTCGCAGTGGCTCCCAGGAATAGGAGAAAGGATGCTGATTTAAAAAAAAAAAAAATAGAGGGGGAAAGATGGGGAGAGGACTGAAGGCGTTTCAGACAGGAGTCCAGAGCGGAGGAAGAAAAGGGAAGGAAGGCAAGAGTGGGAAGGTAGGAAGGATAAGAATAGGCGCTGCACTTACCCGCCGCGGAGCACACTGGGAACTGGAGTCTTGTCCTTACCCACCCCGGAATAGGCTGAAGGTCGTCGGACTACGATTCCCAAAAGGCACCGCGAGAAAGCCGATCGGACTGGCACTGGGTTTTGGTTAAAAGAGCCGGCGACAGCGAAGGTTGAGCCACTTGGTTCCGAGGCGCTCTCCAGCCCCGCTGCTAACGTCCACCCACCTGGGAGGAAGGGGGCCCTGGGAGAAGTGCCCTGCGGGTTCCTGGCAGAAGTGCAGACGGCTGTGTGGTGAGGTGCTTCAGAGACCCACGAAACTGGCTTCCTTGAGTGCAACTGCTCGGGGTAAAATTGTAACAGTTCACTCCCCGTGTTTTCGCGAATTAGGAGTTCACACGGTCCAGTGCGCGCACTCGGCTTGCAGGTGCTCGGGCGTCCTGGTTGCCACGGCCACCATACTTCCACCGCCGTTTCATTAAAAAATCCTAATGCTACTTTTAAAAGAAACCAAATGTTTGGCGTTCATTTCGTTTATTTACCCACTGCAGTGAAGGAGAAGGAATTTCTGCAGCCAAGGCCAGAACTGCACGTTTCCCGGCTTCCTATAAGGCAGGTTTTGTTATTTCCACTTGACAGCCCAGTCTGAGTGAGACTAAGAAATTTGCCCACCATCAGCGCTAGAAAGCACCCGAAATGGAATTTTAAGTACATTTGGGAGGGACCAGGGACCAAAACGATAAGAACTTGCAAGACCTTGTTACACTTTGTAGCTTATTTATGTTTGTTTTATTGTTCCATTTCTTTAGCGATCAATGTTTAAATCCTCAGAGAATGGCACAAAATTGACAAAACTTATTTATGGCAAATGTTAAGTAAGGTTAAAAGGCAAATTACAGACGGGAAAGAAATATTTGATAAAGTAGGCAAAATACAAAGTACTCTTACAAAACAAAAATAACACCGCAATAGAAAGACTGGCAAAAGAAGTAGGCAATAAACAGAAGAAATACAAATGTCTTACAACCAAGTGAAGCAGCTCTTGACTTCACTAATAACTAAGGAAAAGTAAATTAAAGAAGCAATAAAATATCCAGATAGGGAAAAAAAAAAAAGTATTGACAGCCTCGATATTGGCCTCCAATTAGGAGCATACTCCAGCTTTTGTTGCAGGTTAACATAGACATGCCTTTTTTTAAAAAAAAATATTTTATTTTATGTAATTCTTACATCATTTTTCATTTTTTGCGCGATGTATGCATTTTAATTTTGGTTATATTCCCCATATAGTTGCACCTCCCCCCCTTATTTTGACCCTAGTCCTTCCTCTCTCCGCCCCTCCCCCTCAGTGTGTCTCTGGTTTATAGTTGCTTGTTGATTTGATTTTTACTTTGTATTAATTAGCATAGACATGCCTTTCTAAGGGCAATTTGGCAGTATACACCAATGATTTTAATGTGCTACCCTTTTACCTAACAACTTCCCATTTAGGAACGTATCATACTGAAATTTTTCCACATGGGTACAGAGATATAAATGGAAAGACAATTACTGAATTGTGTATGTTATATTATGCAAGCAGTCCAGTGTCCATTGTTGGGAGCTGGTAAAATGAGGGTCATTGCAACTGAATAGAATACTGGGCAGCACAGAGTGGAGACCACTGTCTGCATGCTGACCTGGAGCCATCTACGACCTGTCACGAGGGGGAGAAAAGCAGATTACAAAATGGCATATGCATAGTCCAACACTCTCTATGCAGGAAGCATTTATGTCTGTAAAACGTAAATAAGTCATATGCTTCACTGCAAAGGCAGCAAGCCTGAGAGAGCTGGGCAGACAGGAATGTGGTTCCCCACAATGAAGGGGAAACTAAGGCATTTCTATAACAGGGGCTGCTAGCCACCTGTGCGTATTTACCTTTAAATTAACTAAAATAGAAATTTTAATTCAGTTCTTCAGTCACACAGGTCCTACACAGTAGCTAACATGTGGCTGGTAGCTATTACTGGACAATGCAGTACAGACCGTCACCTTGGAGATCAGGGATTCTCTCGGAGATCCCCCCTGTGAGAATGCAGTGGAAGAGGGCAAGCTGTCTGATGGCAGGAACTGAGCACAGGGAGTTCCTTCCTGAACCTCAGGAAGAAAGCCAGCCAGGGCTCCTAGGAGCTGGAATTGTGAGAAAGGGCCCCCTATCCAGCCTGCACTTGAAGACTGTCCTGTGATGGCAAGCTCTACCCACCCCCTTTATGCTGTGTCCTGGAGACAAAGAACAGAGTCAGGAGCCCACAGACTGCTCCCTGCTGCTTCACCATTAGTGACTGTGCTGCCCTGGGCAAGTTACTTGCTTTGTGAAATGGGAATACTTTTAACTACTTAATGTATTGTATTAAGTAAGATAGAGTATTAGTGTGATACCTGAGCACATAGCAAATGCTCAGTAAATGTTAATCGTCATTATTTTCTTTTTTTTAATTTATTTTATTTATGCATACAAGAACTAGGATCTAGGTCAGAGGTGCAGGGGGTGAGAGAGACAGAGTGGGGAACAGAATAGGATTGACTGAAATACACTGCTGAGGGGAGCAGCAGGTGAGACAGGAGAGGTCTGCTGGGCCATGTGGGTCAGCCCCCTGGCTGGGGATTGAACTCATGCCACAGTGGCTGGCAATAGCTTGATAGTGCTGAGACTTAACCTCTGAGCCACCAGGGAGGCCCATCATCATTATTTTCTTTAAAAAAAAAAAAAACAACCATAAAATTGTACCTCTAGTAAGTGCTGCAAAGAAGAGTTGTGCTCAGAGATCATCACCCCAGCAAGTCAGAGAAGACTGCTGAGGGAAGAGCAGGAGCTCACAAGGCAGATGGTAGGAAATCATTGCCTCCAGAAGGGGAATGGCATCCTCCAAAGGCCATGAGGCCCCACGGAAGAAGTGAAAGGAGGCCAGGGGTGCATAAAGGAAGGTAGAGGACGGACACTTGAACAGTGGGTGGGGGTAGGGGGAGGCAAACTGGGCCAGGAAGATTTTTTTCTTTATTGTAAAGAGAAACCACTAAAGGATTTCTGAGTCAGGGGCTCAGAGTTGTGTTTTAAAGATCGCTCTGGCTGCAGGGCTGAAAACCAGCCAGAGGCGCAGATCCTGAAAGGCCCCTGCGGTGGTCCAGGAAGGATGGAGGTAGCATGTGCAGGATGGTGGCAGAAAGCAGGGAAGTGAGATTTAAAGGAAATCTGGGGAGCAAAATCAACAGAGCTTCATGACAGACTGGGTCTGGAGCCGAGAGTAAGGGGAAAGTGCCAGCAAGGTTGATTCTCCGGTTTCTGGCTCCTGCAGTTGAGTGGAGGACACTGCCCTTTGCTGAGTCAGGAATCCACAGGAAGGAGCAGGTTTGAACTTGCTGGGATTGGTGTTCAGACGCGCTCCAGGTGGTTGCATAGATCTAGAGCTTAAAAGAGTTCCAAGCGTCTCTGCTCGCTGCCACGGCTCCCACTCCACTGCTCACGCCTCTGGGCCGCCCTGTTGGTGCCTGTTTTAGAGCAGGTCACAGTGGGCTGACCCGTGTGTCAGCTCATACATCTGTGACCTGCACCCCAAGGGCCTATTAATTCAGCCAAAGATTTAATCATCTGTATTGTTCTCTTCATTATCCAGTTGGCTCGTTTTGGGAATATCATCAACCAGGACCCCAGGGTCTCTGTTTCACATGAGCTGCCATCAAGACGAATCTGTCTTTTCCAATAATTGCAACTGATTTTTTTTTCTTTCTAAGCAAGTTTGCACTCTTTATTAAATGTTCTCTGGGTGGTTGTGGCTCATTCTTTCAGGTTTCTGAGATAATTTAGGCTCTTGGTTCTGGCTCCCAGCCAAACAGCTTACACATTTGAGGTCATTTGCACATTTGACCATCCTAATTCAGGATTTTCTACTTATTAACCTCTAATTGAAATTTATCATAAATATGAACCCACCAGTGACACCAGGTGTCACTAGAAGACACCTCAGCTATTTTCCTTTTTTTAAAAAGATTTATTTCTATTTATTTATGCATATAAGAACTGGGGTACAGGCCAGAGGTGTGGGGGGTGAGAGGATTCACCAGAGACAGAGTGGGGACTAGAACAGGCAGACTGACTGAAATACACTGCTAAGGGGAACAGCGGGCGAGTCAGGAGAGGTCTGCTGCACCATGTGGGTAGCTCCCTGGTTGGGGATCAAACTCATGCTGCAGTGGCTGGTGCAGTGGCTGGCGATAGCTTGGTAGTGCTGAGACTTAGCCCCGGCACTACCAGGAAGGTCCGGCTCTGCTATTTTCTATCCCATGACAGTGTAGAAACCTCAGGATGTCACTTATGCTTTCTATTACCTGGAAATGTCAGCAGTTATTATTATACCTGTGCTAGTCTTATTATTTAAAAGTATATGCTACCATGTCATAATTTAAAAAATATGTATTTTGGTAAACTCTTTTGATTGATATCCTCTGTAGTCCTGCTTCTATGGGTTTTAAAACATAATCCTGAAGAGGTATCAGTAGTCTCCAGACTACCAAAGGGGGGCATGGGTCAAACCAGGCTGAGCACCTCTGGCCTAACCGTGGCTTATGGAGGAGCAGAACAGTATGCTGAGAAAAATACATGGAAGGAAATGGAAGGGGGAAGAGGGAGGAGAAGAAAGAAAAGAAATGGGAGGCAGATTTTACCAAAACCCCAAGAAACCCACTCACAGTTGTGGAAAACTCAACCTTTTATTACCTGCCTAGTGCAGGGGATTAAAATTGTATTGAGCTAGATCCATATATTAGTGTAAAAATCTGTGTCTCTCCCCCCAAAAATGTACAAACCCCAAGTGATTATAGAAAAACCAATGTGGTAGCTACAACAGAGATGTCCAACCCCAGGGCCACAGACCTTTGCTCCCTCTTCCCCCCAATCCCAACATTTATTCCGCAGAAACATACAGGCCTAGAGAAGTCCTAGCTACAACGCAGCAGGTGGGAAGGAAGGCCGGCCGGGGCTTAGAGGCCGGTCCCCCCACCGAGGTCCAGTGTTTCAGAGGAGGGAGAAACCAAAGCTGAGAACAATTCCAGGAGTTCGGCCAAGGGCGCATTTCTCCCTTTCTTGTCCTCCTCACTCCCCAAATTCTCAGCCAGTGGGGTCCAGTGTGTGACGGAGAGAGAGGCTGAGGGGGGAGGGGACAGGCACAGCCATCTCTCCAGGAACCAGTGTTGTCCAGGGGGGCCCGGGTGCTCCAATGGGCCGTGTCCAGTGTCTGCCCTATATTTGCCCCCAGCCTTCCCCCAAGGGATGGCCAGAAGAGGTCAGAGAGGATCCCATCCGCAGGGCCAGCTGGGTGGGCAGCAGGGGCTTCTAGGAGAAGAGCCAGGAGGGGGCACGAGAGCTTGTCCAGGGGGAATGGAGGCGGCAGCTCCCTGGCAGGCCCAGCCCACCTGCGGTCACACTGCCTGTCAGAGGTGATGGACTGTCGGGAGGGGAATGGAGCAGGGGTGCCGTGAGCTCCTCTTGTTTAGTGCCGTTGGCTTCCCCTGAATCCTCCCCAAGGGAGTGGCTGCTGCGTGGTTCACACTGTGTTGAGTGCATCTTCTGCCAGGAAGCGATGCAGGTGGGAGAAGGGTGGGCGCTGCTCAGGCTCCCGGCTCCAGCACCGAAGCATCAGCTCGTACAGGCCCAGCGGGCAGGCAGGGGGCCGGGACAGATACACCTGCATTGTTGCCGTGTGGACAAAAAGCGGGAAGCAAATGTTCTTTAGTTCCTAGGGTGACAGGCTCTGCCCCTCCTGGCCCCCCAGGCCCATCCTCCCTCCCTTGTGCTCTGACCTGCCGGCCCTGGTCCCGGAAGAACTCCCCAGCGTTCTCGATGACTTGCTCGTCAGTGAGCTGCCCAAAGGGCTGGGTCCGACAGAGCATCAGCACCTCCCAGAGGGTGACCCCAAAGGCCCACACGTCACTTGCGGTGGTAAACTTCCCCTGGTGCACGGATAAGACAGGGGAGGGTGTTAGCAACCTGTGGGGAACCCTATGTCCAGCCAGTAGCCCCCCACCTGACTCCCTCCCAACCCTGGGTGCCCTTTCCTGAGCTGGCCCCCTTTCCAGCAACTTGCTCCTCCCTCCCTCAGGTTGGCCTTTCTTCCAGGCTCCAGCCCTCTCCCTCGCCTTTCCCTCTTCTACCCATCCTTCCCACGTGCTCTGCTCCATACTCTCCCAAATCATCCCCTTCTATCTCCAGCCTCCTCTCTCCCCTTATCTCTTGCTCTCTACCACCCTGGCGCCCTCTCTTGCACCCAGTCTTGGCTCCTGGGCCCTTCCCCCTCCCACTTTGCCTCCCACCTTCTCCAGGCCCTAGAGCCAGAGGAAATCTTAGAGACCCTCGTTTTACAGAGGAGGAAAGTGCAGCCCAGAGGGCGGGCAGCTGACGGAGACCACAGCGCTTCGGCTTCTCTGGGCAGCCCGCGCTCGCCTCCCCTGCCTGCCTGCCCACCCGCCCGCCTCTCACCATCAGGATGCACTCCCAGGCCATCCACCGGATGGGCAGCACCGCGCGGCCCTGGACGCGGTAATAGTCCCCGGCGTAGAGGTTCCGGCTCATGCCGAAGTCCGCGATCTTGATGGTGAAGTTTTCCCCAACCAGACAGTTCCTCGTGGCCAGGTCCCGGTGCACAAAGTTGAGTGTGGCCAGGTAGCGCATGCCCGAGGCGATCTGGGCCGCCACATGCAACAGCATCGGGTAGCTGAACGGGGGAGCCCACCAAGGCGGGTCACTGGGCAGCCCCAGACTGGTCCCCCGACCCAGGCGTGAGACGGGATGTCCAGGTGGAGGCCAGCGGGGAAGCTCCCAGTCAACCTTTCTTTGCCTGGTCCGACCCCAGAGAGCTCTCTCGTATTATCCTCCCCAAGCCGGGCTCAGGGCAGTGGGGCTGGGGGTGGGGGTAACAGGGAAATTCCTGGCGGGGCTCACCTGCCAGACCCTTGCCCACCTCACGCTGGTAACTGCCAGCTCTTCTGCCCCTCTAGTTCCTAATGCACAGGGTTACATGTTCCTCATCCCAGGCCCCCTCCTGGAACCTCGACCCACCCATGCTCCCCTCTTTCCCTCAGACTGCAGTGAGGGGAGAGGAGATCCCCTGCAGAAACTCTCAGGGAACTCCTAGTGAGCCGGTACCTGATGACAGGCCCCTGGGCAGCCTCCCCGTCCCCGGGGTCCCCTTCGGCTGTCTTGTCCTCGAGCTGGTGGGCGCTGAGGAACTGGTTGAGGTCCCCATTCTCCATGTAATCAGTGATCATGCAGAGGGGGTCGTCCTGCACACACACGCCCAGCAGCCGGATGATGTTAGGATCCTTTAGCCTTGACATGATCTTCACCTCCTTCAGGAAATCATTCCTGCAGGACAAGGAGTAGTGAATGGCCGGGGGAGGTGGGGGGCGACCTACATCTCCCCTTCTGCTCACATATACCCGCCCCCTGCCCCCAGCACATCTGGCTCGCTAGTGATGCTGCAGCCTCAGGTCAAACCCTTCCCCCGACACTCCCCTCTTTAATTCTTTCTAGATTACTCCCTACTCTTCATGCCCTCCCTCTCCCTTCTCCCAGATGCCGTCCTGGCCCTAACCTGGCATTCTTGGTGGCATCTGGCCGGAGGATCTTGACAGCCACCAGCAAGGGGTGTCCCTTGCGCACATTAAGGGGGAAATCATGGCTGACGAGGTCTTGGGGGTTCTCCACCTCACACAGGTGCACCTGGGGAGAGGTCACAAGGTTCACCCAGTCACAGGGTCATTGGGATGACACAGTCACAGGTGGCAGGGGACCGGGCCCAGGGGATGTATGGGCATAAGAACCCTGGAGTGAGCCAGACACACAAGCGGGATGACGGGGCTCCTCCTTACCTCCCCAAACTGGCCCTCGCCAAGCTTCTCCTTGAAACGGAGCCGCGACCGAGGAAAATCCACTCTGGGGGGCCCATCCCCGGCTGCCCCTGGGGGCAGCGCAGGCACAGCATAGGTGTTGCCCCCAGTGACACCCTGCAGGGTGACAATGTCAGCCTCGGCATAATGGGGGACGCTGTTCTGGGGAGGTGGGGGCAGAAGTGGGGCACCCGGCTTCTCAGGCTCCATATAGTCCCCACTGCAGGCTGGAGGATGAGGGGAAAGAAGACAAGGACAAGGCATCAGGTAGACCCCGAGAGCCCCGTTCTCCACACCCCTCCCAGAAACCCCCTCCCGCCATCTCACAGTGCTGAGAGATGGGTCTACCCTCCAACTTCATGGGACCCCACCCACCAACCTCAAACCAGAGAAGACATCAGCATGGGATATGAGTTCACTGTTCCAGAGTTTCCAAGGCAACAAAAAATATTTGAGCAGAGACTGTCATAAAGACCTGTGCTCTCGGGGTCTCAGCAGAGCCCAACGACCGTGAGGTGTCCTGGCTGGAAGAGGAATTCCTCGACCCGCCATCGGGAGGACGGTCGCAGCCATGGTCACCTTCCACTTTCCAAAGCCTTGTCCCATTCACCAGCCCTGCTGTTCACTTAGCTGTCTACCCCCACTTTCAGCCTCGACTGCTCCCACCACGGCTACCCAAACCCTCCCTAACCCAACACACCAAGCTCAAAGACAAGCAAAGACAGGGGCACATGGGGAGGGGGGGACAGTTCCTCAGGCCTGCACAACAAGGAGGCTACAGACAGAGAAGAGGAGGCAGAGCAGGCCCCTCTCAGCCCTGAGGAAAGAGCAACACCGAAAAAGCGACACTGAGGAGAGGAGGGGCAGACAGAAAGGGCGAGGTAAGCCTTCACCTCTGGGGCAGCAGAGAGAGAAGGAGGGGAGGGCAAACACCCAGGGAGAAAGGCCCCCTCCTCGCAGCTCTGGAGAGGGGGAGAACAAGGCGGGGTTACAAGGGAACTTGGGGCACCATTCTGTCTGCTCTGCTCTGGAGAGCTGAAGAGACGGGGTGGAAGAGGAGGAGGGGACAGAGCTGAGACCCACGAGTTTGCTACTCAGCTTAAGGGGGGCGGCCTTAACAAGGAGCAAGCAGCAAAGGAGAGCTAAGGACAAAGAGCTTCCTCCTTGGGAGCTCAGGAGAGCGGAAGAGGCCACAGTGGGAGAGAGGGAGTGCGAGGTGTGAGAGCTTTTCCCTGCCCCAGTAGAGGTACGGGGAGCCTGGCAGAGCCCAAGGGCAGAGGGGCTTACCCTGGGTGTTGGTGGGTTTGGCCCAGGCGGGTGTGGGGGGGCCCGGGCCTCGAGGGGGACGGGCGTAAGTGGCCAGAAGGAGGCGGTAGGCCGGATTGGAGAGCAGCAACGCTGTCGGGAGAAGGAGGGGGAGACACAAGGAAGGGATGAGACTCGAGGCTAGACAGACAGAGACCCAGAGCGGGGCAAGACTAAGGCCGATGAAAACAAATGCACCAAGAGACAGAGACAGGATGAAACGAGGATCTGAGCTGGCTGGCTGGCCAGGTGGATAATGAATCGATGGGCATATGATGAATGGAAGAGAAATGAACTGGAGCAATAAAGGGATGGATAACTGGACGAAGGGACAGATGAATGGATATTTGGATATAAATTGATGGAGGGAGAATGAATAGATGGTGGATGGATGGATGGACAAACAGATGTATGAATTATGTGATGAGTGAATGAATGTATGGTTGGATAGCAAATGGATGGGTAGATGGACAGATGGATGGATAGATGGACAGACAGAAGGATAGATGGATGGATGGATGGACAGATGGACAAATGAACAATGAATGGATGTTTGAATAGACAGAGAGACATAGAATGGATGGATGGATGATGGATAGGTGGACAAATGGATATATGAATACATGTAGATGGATGGATGAATGGTTGCATGGTGATGGATGGACAGATAAACAATGAATGAATGAACAATGAATGGATGAATACAGCCAGATGGATGGATAGAAGGAAGGATCGAGACAAGGGCAGGAGGAATGAGGGGCCCAGAAAAACACAATGAGAGGGCACAACAAAGAAGACAGAGATGCACACGGGACAAAGAGACAGAAGGAGAGCACGGGAGGACAGGTAATGCATGAGAAGTTCTTGAGGAAGGTTATATGGCAGAGACATGGAGTGATACAGAGGGGTGACTGATGCCACAGGGAAAAGAAAATGAGTTGAAACTGGAGAAGACAGGAAAAGAAAGCAGGGGGAAAGCAGAAGGAAAGGGACACAGTAAGAAAACGGGCGGAGAGGTGGGACAGAAGCGAGACAGTCTTACCGGAGCCGTTGGGGACACTGGGCGCTGCGTGGTGAGGATTGCCACGGGGCCGGGGCTCCTGGTAAGGGGGTGGCTCCCGAGGCCCTGGCCGGTTGTTGATGAGGATGGTGTCCCCGGGGACAGAGAGATGAACCGTCAGCTCCTCTTCCAATACCCGACGCTCAGCCTGGTCACCCAGAATGGGAAATACGAACTCAGCCACTGCTCGGCTCACGATTCCCAGCTCCGTGTAGGTGCTATGCCAGTGCTCTCCTCTGCGGCCCTCACCACAGGCCTGCCCTTGCCCCCACTACTAACTCCACTTCACAGGCAAAGGAATAGGCTCAGGAGCATTTGAGTTCCTTGATGGAATTCCAACCCAAATCTGACCAGATAATTATGGAATTAACTTTATGTCACCACCCTCTTGCCTAGAAGACTTGGCATGGGTGGAGTATGCAGAACTTCTTCCGGTTGCCCCTCTGGCTCCACCCTCCATCTTTCTCCTCCCAACTTCTGCCCCACAAGGTTGGCCAGGGGGACCACATTAACAGGCTGGGTTCAGGTTGGTCAGGCGGGAGTCCCAGCAGGCATTTGAAAGTAAGTGGAAAGCAAGATCAGGGTGCTTGTCTTCCTGCCCCTCCCAGAGGGGCGGGCTCTGATTAGCTGCATCCCTGAACCAAAGTGGGCTACCCCTCTCCAGGAGCCCTCACCAGACACTCATTCCTCCTGGGCTTCAGGGGCTGCTGCCTCCTCCCACCTGCAGCACCAGGAGGGTGCCAGCTCTGCAATGACTGGCCTGGGGACATTACCATCCACCCCAGCACACCTTTGCCAATGGCCTCTTTCCTAAGTCCTCTAATACTCTAGTTAGATGGTGCTCTGTGGTCTCAGCTGCATCCTAATTCAGGAATTTGGGCACATGTTGACCTCAGTCGGGATTTAACTCTCTGCACCCCCATCCCTCCGTCCCCACTCCAGGCTGCCCACTCCTTGCCCACCTTGCTGAGGAGCCGGCGCCAGTGCAACCGCCAGAGCATGAGGGCGATGATGAGCAGCAGCAGCAGGATGATGGCCACCAGGCAGCCGATGAGGATGGCGGTCGGGCTCCCCTCGGCCTTGGCCACGGGTTGCTGACCCCTGGGCTCCAGCTCTGGCAAAAGGCAGGCAGGTCAGAACCACAGAGGCTTCCCACCCAAGCTGAGGGGGCCCAGGAAGGAAGAGTGGACCCAGACACCCAGAAAAGGCCCAGGGCTGCTCACCCAAGCTGCTCAAGTTGGTGGGAGGTGGGCCAGGAGGCCACCAGGGGGCTGGTGGGTAGGTGCCCCCCAGAGCTGTAGAGGAGTCATTCACAACATCTGCAGAGAAGGAGAGGGAGGTAGGAGGGGAGTCATATCGGGATGGGGAGACCAAAGGGAAGTCGCTTGTATGAGGCCCAGGGAATGCTCTTGTTGGGTGAGGAGCAGCATCAGAGCTGACAGCCAACATATGCCCCAACCCTGGGAATGGGTGGTGGGAACAGAGCCCCGGAGGCCCCTGGCTGTGGTGGATGTTAACCTTTTTTTTAAGTTGCTGCACTTGTGGGGACGTGGGGGAGCCCAGGGTGGCGAGCCTGGGTCTTAGAAGCTTAGAGAAAAGGCCATTTCTCAGCCAGCACCGTCACATTGGCTCCGTACCAGCAAAAGACAGAGATTGGCAAGGGGAAGGAAAGGATTCAGATCATTTGGGCACCCCTGCTTGGGAGATCTCACAGATGATGGGTAGACTTGGTGCCAGGAGTGGGTATCTTGGGGCACTGTTGGACTGGCAATCCCAGAGGTTGGGGGTCAGGCACAGACCAGGGCCTTACCGGAGATGAAGGAGATTTCGCTGAAGAGTAACCAAGGCCCAGCAAAGAGGAAGCGGCACTGCAGAAATCGGCCCACGCGGCTGCCCAGGGGCACTGACACAGTCCGGGCTCTGGGGTCCCCCAGGCTGCCCCCCAGGGCATGGCGCACAGGCTCCCCCTCCCAGGCCATGGCAGGGCCCCGCCTGAAACGGCACTCCACCCCGCCAGGCAGGCGGGCTCCCAGCGTGTGCATGTTGTTACAGTGGACCTAAGGGAGAGAAAGAGGGACAAAGGGTCAAGGCCAGGAGAGCCCCAGCCAGCACCCCAGCGCACCCAGCCCTCCCTGAGAGCCAGACACCCTCACCTGCATGGCCTGGAAGGCCCTCAGGCGGTCAAACTCAAACTCCATTTCCACAAAGCCGCTGGGGAAGCTGTGGTTGCTCCATCCCACATAATCATAGCCCGGCCAGACCCGCAGCTCCTGGCTTTTCCTAAAATCATCCAGGCCCACCACACCATCCGCCAGCTGGCCCAGACCGCCATACTGCAGCCTGGAGAGGAGGGCGCCGAGGAAGAGGAGGATGGAAGAGAAGAGAGTGTTGCCTACATGGATGCTCTGCGCCCCCAACTCCCCAGCCTGGCCAAGCCCCCACCTCCACCCCAACCTCATGCAGCTCGCTCCTCCCCACCCCGAGACAGCACAGGCACGCTGCAGATACAGGCTGCACAAAGGCCCTACCCTCAAAGGGCACCGTCCAATCTATGCCGCATGTATTTATTGTGATCATTTCAGATGTCAGTGTCTTCACAAAACGGGGTGGCCTTGCTACCCTACGATCCTGGTCCCCTGAGGCCCCACCTGACTCGTCACCTCTCCAGCTCTTCCATCTCACTGCCTAGACTACTCTCCGACCCCGCTCCCCCGTCCCTGCCACCCAGGCTCCTGGGCGCCAGCCGCGCCCTGCTCTCACCCGCCAGTGGTGGGCATGGTGTATCCATCGTAGGTGGAGTCGTTGAAATGGATAGCTTCAGACAAGTACATGGTCTGCCCCACGGGGGCCGTGTATGACAGAAGTCCGTCTGGGGCAGGATGGGAGGAGAATGTTGGAGGCACAAAGTCTCCCCCCTGACCCCTGCGCCAGACCTCTCTCACACCCCCCGTGGGTCCCCTGGCCCCTCCTCACTCACAGTGACAGCTCTCCAGCATGCAAGAGAGAGCACCCACTCCCCAGCCCCCACATCCTGGCCCCAGAACAGGAAACACATTCTCAGGGGGCTGACCCACTCACCCTTCCAGAGGCAGCCGTAGAGCTCCACCCGCAGACACACGCTCATGATGCGGTCAGCCCGGGGGTAGAAGCGAACCAGTCGGGCCACCATGGGGGGCCCGAGGTCCTTCAGCACCACTCCCCCAGGATCCTCATTACCTAAGATCACCTGTGGGCCCGGAAATGGGGTGGATGGGTGGGAGAGCTTGCAGGTGGGATCTCACGTCCCGGTCAGCAGGGGATCCCTGGCCACCCACAGTGGCCCACACACAGGGCTGTGCAGAACACACGGGGCTAAAGGGCACCGTTGGGTGTCTGTAAAATGACGAGCTGCGCCAGAGACTTTTGACCTCTCAGCCTGATGGTCTGTCCTTGACCTCCAGTGCCAGCCAGTCCACTCCTTGCCTGGCTCCACCCACGACTCTAAGCCACTCAACCCACTGTGGCGGGTTCGACCCAGCCTCTCACAGCTCTGTACCCTTGCCTCCCTCCCTTCGCCCCCTCTGTTCACTCAGCAGATGCTGACTGAGCGTCCACTGTGTGCCCATCAGGCATGTTCTAGTGGTGACAGTCCAGAAGGAGAAACAGCTGTGAAGAACAAGAGGCGGGTGTGGGGGGTCAGCAAGGCTCTCTGAGGAAGGGACATCTGGGAAAAGCTGAATACAGAGGGGAGAGTCTGTGGACTCTGGGGAGGAATGTTCTAGGCACCGGGATGGCTAATGAGTGTCCTGAGGCTGTGTGTACAGCAGGAGCCACAGTCTGTGTGGCCTGGGTGGAGGATGAGGAAGAGGAGCTTCTGCACCCAGGCAGGAGCTCAGCTTTTGACCAGCTCTGGGGGGCTGCGAGGCTGACGTGGTGCATCTGGCTGGCATGCACAAGGCATGCTGGATGAGGCTCCCGCTGCAGATTTGACTTCAGGTGAAAGAGACCATTGTGTTCCTCTAAGCTAAGAGCAGTGGGCATGGCCTTGGGTGGCAGAGACAGAGATGAGAGAGGTGGCGGCATCGGGAAATGTCACGGAAGTAGAACAGACTAGCCTTGCTGACGTTTGGGAGTAGGAAGGGAGAAAACCAAGGAACCAGAGATATCATCTGGGCTTATGGCCTGAGCAGCCGAGCACATGATGGGACCGTTTCCTGAGCTGGAGAACACCAGGGGAGGAGCAGGTTTGAGGTGGGATGGGACTCCAGTTCAGCCTGGGATCTGGGCAACTAGGGGGAAGGTGCCAGGTCTGCAACACTAGACGGAGCACAGGGGTGAGGCCTGGGCTGGAGGGCGGTGAGCAGATGGGTAGCATTTAATGTGTAGCTGGAGGACAGAGGAGCGCCCCCCTTCCCTGGGCACTGTCCCTGCCGCCTCACCTCCTGACCCCAGCGGTCCCTCCAGTCCACCCAGTGGTGGCCGTCCCGGGAGTAACGCAGGCGGTAGCTGGGGGAGAACTCCTTGCCCAGGCCCCCAGCGTGCCGCCCCTGGGTGCCCACCAGTGCCACCAGGTGCAGCCGCCGCAGATCCACCTGCAGGTACTCCTCTTCCTTGGGAAACACTGGCTCTTTGGGGCACCAGGCCCCATCCCCATCGCTGCTCTCCAACCTGGAAGGGGAAGATCACAGGGACAATCTGGTCCTAGGTCCGCCTCTGCCTCAATACTCAGACACCCCAGGGCTGTTAGGGTTTCATTGGCACTGGCCCTCTAGAAGCCTCTTGGTTTGGACAGGGTGGGACAGTGGCCCCAGGAGTGCCTTCCAGGCCGCCCAGGAGACCGGTACCTGCTGTGGCGAGCGGCGGTAGATTCTGACCAGGAGCTGGAGGCAGAGATATCCGAGTCCGGGATGGTCCGGTCCTGCATGCCCAGGGCATAGCGGCACTTGGCTGGGTAACACAGGCATTCAGAGGGTCAAGTCCCCAAGTCTGTCTCCCAAGCCCTACCCCTCGGGGACCCAGGGACCAGCCTGCTCACCAGGGTCAAAATGTCCTTTCATGTCAGCATCTCCAGTTGCCACCAACAGCAGCAGCAGCAGAGATGAGAGGGTCTCTGGCCCCATAGTTCCTGATCCCTTGGGCCTAAGGGGGTGGGGGCAACATCTCTGCAGGTGACAAAATAAGTAAGGGTGAAGTCAGCCAAGGGTCAGTCAGGGGGACTGCACCACAGTCAACAATAGACACTCTGGGGACTGCTCTGGGGACCAAGCTGTAAATGACAACAGTGGCCATTGTTTTGCAGCATCAGCTACGTTTCTAAAATGCTTCCCAGGCCCCATGTGCCAGATGATGGGATAAACTCTGTTCCCCACCCACACACACACCCAGGAGCTTCGAATTCTAGAAGTAAGGGAGCCTGGCACCTTCCAATCACCTGTCCTCTACAGGCCTGCCAGACCTCATGTGGCCCCGGGACCAGCTGCCTTGGCAACAGCCAGAGATTGTCAGAAATGCAGCATCTAAGGCTCCACCCTCAACCTGCTGAATCAGAATCTGCATTTGAACACAATGCCCAGATTATCTGTGCCCCTTAAAGTCTGAGAATTTCTGCTCCTTCTCACTAGGGTCCAGGCAGTGCACCCCATCTAAAACCATTCCAACTGGTAGCTCCTTATGAACCCAGAGTCCCAGCCCAGGGAAAGCTGTTGTGACCTGTCTCTCCCCAGGTCCGCACTGATTCCTCCAAGCCCCACAATCCTGAAGGACACTAATGCCACCCTTCACACCCTAAATCCACCCACTCCTGTTGTTAGGGGGAAAAGGATGTCCTAAAGCTAATTCCATACAGGCTTTGTGGACTCCACCCCCACCCCAGGCCAAAGCCAAAGACACTGGGAACTCCAAATCCCATCACCACCAAAGGGAAGGTGGCTGGGACCTGAGGGTGGGGTTAAGCAGCCAAGTTGGTATAAAGGCAGACACGTGGGCTTTGGTGGGGGGTTCCCCCATTTTGGCTCTCCGCCAGCTAGCAGTGTTTGGCCAGCTCTGAGAGTGACTGGGTTTTCCAGGTCGCCGGATCGGATAGGACGCATTAAAGACTTTATTTCCCTATTTTCTCCCTGAGTTGTACATTTCCTCATTTCCCCTTCCCTTGTAAATAAACCTTTTATTAACCTTTTGTGTGTGCCTGTAGTGGAGTATTAGTAAGTCCCTTTTAAGCGTGCGGGTGAGGACCCACAGCCAGGAACCCGTTCAATATCGGGGCTGCCCTATAACACTGTCATTGGGTCCAAAGCATCACATCCCAGATTTCCCTTCTCTGCCTCCTTTTCCTAAACCTGAGTTACCACTTTGCCACTTTCGAAGGTGGCTGCCTTCCTCCTAAGGAAGAGCGCAGGGCTGAGGAAAAGACTGAGTTGCCTTGAGATGTGGGGAGGGTGGAAAGACAGGGGAAGCCAGGTCACCCCAGGAGGTAAGAGGAGTGGGGGGACACTCCCCTATCCCTTTGTCCTCCTCCAGCTGCTCCCACAATGCTCTAGGGCAGGAATGTAAGAGGCAGCTGAGACCCCACAGCTCTGAAGCAGCAGCTGAGGGGCTGACTGAGTTGTGGGGAGCACCTGGGTATTAAAGGAGAGCTAGAACCAGTGGCATCCTGCCTGCTCCCGTGGGGTCCTGGAGCCACTCAAAAGAGTCTGGAATTCCTGGGTGCCACTCTCCACCCCCACCTCTCTCTTGAACAGCGGGGCCCTTGTTCCCCTGGGTAACCTTCATGCCTATCCCAGATGAGTCATCGGAGCCAAGACAGGCAGAGGATAGGCAGCAGGAGGAGACAGGGCCACGAACACAAAGCAAGAGGTAAATAGAGCAGGCTGGGAAGTTCAGGGCACGGAGCCAAGCCAGCCAAGCAGAGAAACTCTGGGAGAGGAGGTGCTCAGAGACCAGGTGTGTGGGGGCAATCCCTTCTCCGACACCCCATTTCTCTCAACTGGCTCAGACACACCAAGGACAGGCCCAAAAGACAACTCCACCCACTCCACCCCACCCCATTACAGCCAATTACAAGTCACTCTGCCTGCAGGCCCTTAACCCTCCTCTCCCAACTGGCAACACCCACACAGCTCTGTATAAACACACAACACACACACACACAACACACACACACACGTGGTCAGAAACACAAACTTACAGTCAGCTGTAAACACTGGGGTTAGATGTAGCGTGCTCAGGCGTGCACACACACCTTGGGTGTCACAGACATGCACACAAACCAGTTACACACATAGACCAGCCAGCCCCGGGGCCAGGACAAACACCGTAGCTCACACACATCAACTCCACACCTCGGTGTTATTTACAGTCCAATCCCATCACTTAGTGAAGAATCATCTCTAGACACCTGTGAACTTAAAATGACAGACCTCTCAATCAGAGGACAGTGTAGGATACACACACTCCGGCCCTTGGGTGTCAGATCCCAAGGGATGTAGTGACCACCCCCTAATACACAAGGTGGCCAAGCCAGAGGGGAGCCCAAGGAGGTGGGGAATGGAGGAAACTTGGGTGGCTGGAGTGGCAATAAGAAAAAGAACCACCTCTCCATATGTTCAGCTTTCACCTGTTCCACTGTACCACTCAGTTCTGGCCACACCTATGTGCCCTTGGCAAATGGGAATCTGAGCGCCAGACTCCCTGGCTGGAATGGAGGTTCTGGAAAGGACTGTCCAGCCAGCAGGGACAGTGGGATGACGACTGGGGGGAGGGGCAGGAGGACCATGCTCGCTGGGCAGTGACATTATCTCATGGCAGAATCAGCTGAGCATCAGTGGCTGTCACCGGCAGGTTGAGGTGCCAGTCCCTGTCTGCTGGGCTGTGGCCAGACCGGCCAAGTGGGAGCTGGCTGGGTGGAGGCGATCAGTTAGTAGATGCCCTGGGGACTGGCCAGGCTGGGCAGGCCCGGTGCTCCAGGGAGAGAATGATACAGGGAGCTGATTCAATGGGCCCACGTATGAACACCTGTCTCCCTGGGGTTCATTTCCTCCATAGTGAATAAAGGGGTCCTCCCTCAATGCTGAGACACCCATTCTCGGGTACCCAACGCCACCCCCCTCCCAGCATCTCCCCACCCTACCCCCCTTTTCTCGGACAGCAAACTGGGGAGTTTTCGGACAGCAAACTTGGGGCGCGGGCAAGGGTAGGTGGAGTTGGCGAAGCTGGACAACCAAATACAGCCGCGGTTCGCGCTGCCTCCCGCCAGGCTCTCACCCTCGGCCGCGCGCCCCGCCTGGACCCCCAGGCCCCCGCGCGCGCCCCTCCGCCCCCCGGGGGTCCCCGGGCCGCTCTCCCTACCTCTCATCACTCTTCCCGGCAGACCCAGGCGTCCGACCCCGGAGCGGGGCCTCCTCGGCGGCGGGGCGAGGGGAGGGGCGGAGGGAGCCGGGAGTCGGCAGCGGGAGGCGCCGGCGGGGCTCGGGTGTCGGGAGGCGGCTCCCGAGAGCAGCTGTCGGGGGCCTGTTCCGGGGAGAGGAGCCCGGGCTGGGGTGGCTCGGGCCCAGGCGCCGCCTCCCGCCTCCCTCCTCCCTCCGGGCCCCCCTCCGCCTGCCCGCCGCGCGCTCCGGGGCCGCCTCCCTGCCCCCTCCCGGGCGGGCCGCCCCGCCGCTCCCACGCCCGGCGCCGCCCTCGCGGCCGCGCGCCCCTCCGCCCGCCACGCCCACCCCGCATTCCCCCGCGCGCCCCGGGCTCCCCCAGGTAACCACCCCGCGGTCCCCTCGGTCGCCGCCGCACGCTCCGCGCCCGTGCCCATCCCCCTCCGCCTACCCAGAGCCCACCCCTAGATCCCCACAAAAGAGAACCGCTTAAGCTGAGGCTCCCGGGGGCCAGTGGCAACCCCGTTAGGGGCCTCCCACACATCCAGGACCCCTCCCGTCTCCCCCTTTTCCGGGCTCAGTTCCTGGAGACCGAGGTGAAGGGGGGCAGCCCCGGGGCACTGGAAGGAACAGGTTCCCACAGGCCCAGTGCCCGGAGCCGCAGCAGGAGTTTGCATGGGGGAGGGAGCGGGGCTCACCTGTCCAAAAAGCCCCCTAGCCCCACTCTCTCCGCACCACCTGCTTTTGCTTCTCTCGGGCACTCTCTGGCCTCCCTGCTGTACACCCCAACCCAGGCTACCCCAGAGCCTGATGGCCAGCCCACCCTCAGCCTCTTCTCTCCACTCCCACCTTCCAGTCCTGCCCCAGGCTCCGCAGGGCATTCCCCAGTCCTCTCAAAGTGTCCAGACGCCTGGGCCCTGGCTTCCCTGGGGCTCCCTCCTCCGGCAGGTCTCCCTCAGGCCCAGCCAGCTCTGGCCCCATGGGGACATCCACTGGCAAGGAAGGCCTGGACAAGGTGTATGGCAGGGGGAAGGAGGAAGACAGGCGCAAAGAGAAAACCAACCACAGCCAAGAGGAAGAGAAAATCAAACACAGCCAAGAGGAAGCGGGTCAGGAGACCCAGAGAAGAGGGGCGCCTGGCCACAAGACTGGGGACGGGAATAGAATGAGAGAGCAGCCTGGGTGAGCCCGGCAGGACAGAAGAGTCCTGGGAGAGGCGCTCCGCCCCACTCAGCACTACCTGGCCCACCACCTCTCCACACCACACCTGCCTGCCACCTGCACGCTGTCACCCGCCTAGTGGGGTCTGTCCTTCCACTGCAGAGGGCCACCTCGCACCTCACGGCGGATATAAACATACACCCTACATGCAGGCCCAGACAATAGTCCCAAGAAAGAAGCATGAAATCCCAACCAGACAAGTACACAAAAGCACTACCAGGAAGAGGCTGGACCTTGGGAGAGGAGAGGCACGTTTGGGCACGAGTTCCACGGGGGGACACGCAAACCCAAGGGCACCCCAACCGCTTAAGAACTTACTAACAGAGGGCCCGACGGCCACTCGGAGAATTGCCTCTTCCCATCTTCCCCTCCGACCAAATCTCCAGGGTTCCCCCAGAACACCTACCCCTCCGAGACCGCCGCTGGGAAATCTGGGCCCGGGGAGGCTGGGCCGGGGGCGGAGCAAGACGGGGGTGGGGCCAAGGTTTCCCCAGTAACCTCACCTGGGCGGTCTCCGCCCCTCCTTCCCGGGGCTGGGCTCCGGGGGAGCCCCGGCCCGCGGCCCGCCGTGGCAATGTCTTCCTTCTGCCCCAGGCCTCAGGGAAGGAGCCGCAGCCCCTCACGCCCGGGTGGGACATTCCACACCCCGGGCCCTCGCTGACCCGGCCGGGTGGCGCGGCGGGGCCGGGCAGAGAGGTCCATTGCGGAGTGGAGGACACCGTAGAATCCCGAAACCCTGGCCCCTCTTCTCCCCCAGGAGAAATTCCTAGTCGGTGATGCCCACCTCGCCCCAGCCCAGGCCTGGAGGAGTGGGAGCGATGCAGGGCTGGGGCCCAGCGGAGTCAAGTGACAGCGGAAAGGGGGCTGGAGCCGTCTGGAATGCGGGGCTCGGAGCCGAGATTCCCAGGGGCCAGAGAGGGAAATCCCAGTCAACTGAGCAGCGCCGAGATTTAGTGTCCACCCAGAGGTCTGCCCGTAGCCCCCGGCGCCCATCCCTCGTGTGCTGCACCCCTCTGAGCTCCAGGACCCGGTGTCTTTCTGAGCCCCACAAGGGCCCTCGCCCCTCCCCCATCCATGCCCTTCCATCCAAGGTTTCCCTCCCATTCACGCCATGGCCTCCTGCCTCTCCTCGACCCAGGAAAGAGAGGAGGGGGAAACAGCTGAAAAAATGTGAGGCGAGGCACGTAGGAGAGCGCAGCTTGGGCCTGCAGACCACCCGCTGCTGCAGGGAAGCCCAGCGAGACTAGTGAGGGAGAGACCAGATGGGCCCCCTCGCTGGCTATAGGCCCCTTCCTGAGAGATGCAGCTGCCTGGGGGCAAGCAGGCTAGGTCAGCAGCTGGGGAAAGAACCGGCTGGTGGGGGCAGGGTGAGGGGCTGGATGTGGCCTCCATACCGCAAAGCACACATGGGAAACTGAGTCCCAGGAGAAGAAGGAGAAGGAAGACATTGCCAGAGCACTGGGAGAAAGATGCAGCCAGGCTCTGCTATGGATGGCCCAGGGGATCCGAGGAGGGAGAACCTACAGTCAGGTGAGACAATGGTGGTGGGACTTTTAAAAACAAGAGAAAAACTGAGGCAGAGGCCCAGGGTATCTTGGGGGGCAAAGGGAGAAAAGGGTTGAAGACTCTCAAGGGCACACACACCAAAAGGTGAGAAAACCGAGGTTTGGGAAGAAAAAGGTTGAACCCAGTGGAGACAGGGGGAAGAGTGGGGGACCCTAAGAGTGGAGAGTAGGAAAGTGAGGAGTCCTGAGAGGTGTCCTCCCACCCCCCACCCATGGAGACAGGGACCCAGGGCAAAGAGAGAAGGGGTTGGAGTGAAAACTAAGTGGGGGGTCAGGAGAACCCCTGAGACCAGGGGTTTGAAAGAAGGGACTTGGGGAGAGGAAAAGCTTAAGAGGCAGAGGATAGAGTGTCCAACAGCATCAAAGATAGAGTCAAACTCTATGCAGAGGCCCAGACCTGCTGTACCATGACCCCCAACTCTATTCCCCACCCTTCCCTCCTCCCACCACTCCTCCTCCAGCCAAGATGCCAAGTCCCTCCCTGCAAGGGGAGGGTCCAGCTCCCTTCCGCTCCAGCCCTTCCAGTTCTGCTCTGGCTTTCTCCCTCTCACCTCCAGCTCTGGGTTCTCCTGAGTCTCAGTCCCCCGAGTCTCAGGCGTTTGGGTTCCAGGTCTGGGCTGCCAGAGCAGCCTGGCTTTGTCCGCCCATCCGGGGGCCGAGAGCAGCTGCCCTGGCCAGCTGCGGCTGGCTTCAACGTGACCATGGCAACCCAGTCCAGCTCCCCTCGCCGAGCCTCCCGGCCCCCGCAGAGAGGGAGGGAGCAGCCTGGCCCAAGAGAAAGGGAGGGAGGCAGAGGACTGAGAAAATGAACCCAAGGAAGACAGCAGACAAAGAAACCCAGACAAAGGAGATGAAGGAGGCAGCAGGAGAAAGCAGCAAGGCTAACAAGCTGAGAGCTTAGGCAGCGGGAATTTGGTCCTAAATTCAAAATCCAGGCAAGAGAGACAGACAGGCTCGAGGTGGGAGAAAAGATTAGAATTGACTGAAGGTGGTCCTTTGGAGACCCCCTTCTTGGTCCCTAACATTTCACTTCCTTCACTCAGGATTTTGCACTCTGGGGGAGAACCAGAATACATTTTCTAGTTGGCTGCGCTCAAAGTGTTGCATAGTGAGATCCCCTGGCCCCTCAGTTGTACCCGAGGAGGCCACAACCTGAGGCCCTCAGTGTCTGAGAATAACCCAATTTGAAACCTACAAGGAACTTCTGAAATAACAAATGTTATTGTCGAAGCACTCCAATTCTTAGTTTGGAAATATGGCTCCCAAAGCCAAAAGTGACTGACCTGGCTCCCACAGAGTGGGCGTGGGAGGAAGGCAGTATTGGCACCTCTCACAGCAGAGCCAGGACTGAACTTATCACTCCCAACGAGTCTCTCTTGCTGTGTTCAACAACAGTGCAGTTGCCTCACCCGGAGTCTTTGGGGTGATAATATGAGGTGGCATCTGTCAAGTACAGGCCCTCTTTACAAATGGAGGTACTGGCACCATCAGGTTTGGGTCTATACAAACCATTCAGAACTACAAAAAAGTGAACTCTGGGGAACACGGGTTTAGTGAGGAAGAACAGGGGGCTATTGAAGAAAAAAAGAAAACTTAGAATCACAGAAACTTCTGTGTAAAGATGTTTACAGCAACTTTTTTTGGAATTGTCCCAAATTGGACACTATTCAAATGTCCTTCAACAAACAAATGCATAGACCAACTGTAATACATCCACACTAAAGGAATACTATTCAGCCATTAAAAGGAACTTTGACACACATAAGCATATTAAACATATTATGCTAAGTGCAAGAAAGCTGCAAACTGTTTGACTCCTTTTATAAGATATTCTGGAAAAGGCAAAACACATTCAATGACCTTGAAAAAAATCAACAAATTTCTGGGACAATATAGTTTACCAAAACTAAACCAGAAAGTGATAGATGGGATGGAGACTAAATCAGTGGCTTAGGGCTTAGGGGTGGGAGAGAATTTGCTCCAAAGAGGATTTCTGGGGTCATGAAACTGTTCTGTGTTTTGTTTGTGGTGTTTACATGACTCTATGACTGTGGAGACTCAGAACCCTACACCCTCAAGAGTGTACAGGCCCTTTTGATGGAAGCAACCATTCAAACTCTACTAACATGATCTCACTCTGGGATTTTCTCATGTGTCACCTGGGGCTCTGAGTTTCACCTCCCAATTCATTCTACAGGTATCAGACAGGGCATGACAGTAAAAGCGATGACAGATCTATTGAGAAACACAACCCACTCCCTGTGCTCTGGACACTTACAGCTTAGAAGAGCAGTCAGGCATGTATATGTATGTGCACGTGTATGTACATATATGTACAGTAGCGCCCCTTAGCCATGCGAGATACATTCCAAGAGCCCCAGTGGAAGCCTGATACCATAGAAAAATCCAAACCCCATAGACTGCGTTTTCCTATACATATGTACCTATGATAAGTTTAACTTATAGATACAGTAGTAGATTAACAACAAATAATACAATAAAACAACATACTATAATAGAAATTATATGAATATGCGCTCTCTCAAAAACATCTTATTGTACTTAATATTTTCAGACCACCCTTGACTTCAGGTAACTGAAACCACAGACTCGAAATTGCAGATAAGAGGGCCTACTGCATGTACAGTGTAGTGACATAATCACAGGAGACAGCAGAACCTGCTATAGACAGAGCCTAAAGGGGCTGTGGACACCCAGAAAGGGGCGGGCCAGGTCCTCCTGAGGGGAGGAAAGTCAGACAAAGATTTGCAGAGATGAGACAAAGCCATTCCTGGCTGAAGAAGCTGAGGAAAAATAGCACGGAGATGTGAACACGGTTCTGTGAAATGCAGCTAGGATTGGAAGATGGGGTTTGTCCAGGGGAGGAAACCCAGAAAGTCAGGTTTGGGGCCTCATTGTCACTCGACTTATTCTGCAGATGATAAGGGCTTTGGAGTTTTGATTAGATTAGTGCTGTTTTAAAGTGGTCTCTGGCAGCACAGTGCAGAGTCAAGGCTGGGGAAGGGAAGGAGGGGTTTATCCCACCTTTATCCCCACCCCCTCCACTTTCCGCCTGCTGCCTCTGCCCCAGCCCCAACTCTGCAGTGCCAGAGGAAGTGGTGAGATCCTACAGGAAGGCAGCGCTAAGTACGTTCCTGGCGCATCTTATTGTCTCCCCAGGCTGTATGAGGAGGGTGCGGCAGAGCGCTTCATTAGAAGGGAAGCAGGTCCAGAGGTTGTTACTTGCCTTACATCTGTGGCAAATTGCTTCTCTCTCCCTCCTCCCCCCAGGACGTTTAGATTCTGCCACCTCACTAGTCCCAAAAGGCGGGGCGGGGAGGGGGGTTGCTTGGAAGCAGATCCTCAACAACCTCGGTTGGGCAGGAGCAGACGCTCCTGCCCACCGGCTAGGAAACCCCACCTTACATCCCAGTGTTTTGTGGGCCCCAGGACTCCTGCGATGAACAGGAAGACCACTGGGTGGCGCCCGCGCACAGGCGACCAGCGCGACTTACCGGGAAGCCGGCCCCGTCTGGGCGTCCTAGTGGGAGGGAAGGGCGCTGGGGGGACCCATGGGGAGTGAGATTAGAAAAAGTAAGTGGAAGTCTAAGGTCGCTGCAGGGCTCATTAGGGCGAAATGTCCTGATAGTCATACATCAGAAAGAGTGGTATTTCTAGACAGAATCTTAGCATCGTCCCTTTCTCTTCTGTAGTCCAGTCCCAGAGCCTGTGGCATCCCCAGCAGCCCTCAGCCTCTTGGTGATGAGGCTGTTTGCTGAGCCTTGCTGGGGGCCAGGCTCTGCCCTCAGCACTTTCCCAGTCGCCTCCGTTGACCCTCACCACCATCTGATGTGGCATTTTGAAAACGCCTACTTTTACAGAGGCAGGAGCTGAGGATTAGAAAAGGCAGGTTTGGAATTCAACCATTTAGGTGCCAAAGCCAAAGCTAGACCGCAGGCCATGGCCATCTTTATTTTCCCAACTGCAGGGATCTCTAATATATCCCAATTCCTTCCTTCACAGTCCTTGAAGATTCCCTAACTCCTTCATCATCCCAAAATTCTGGTAGTCTAATCATTCTTATTTGTGTATAAAAAATGTACAGAGATGCAACAAAAGGAAACGATTTGCTTGAGGTCACACTGGAAGACAAGATCAGTGCTGGGTAGGGTTTCTCAAACCGTGAATGTTCTGCAAAAATCATTAAATCAGGTTTTCATTTCATTGGTAAATTTTTGGCAGTGTTATCAGCATGCCCTGAGTCACAAGTTGCTGGTCTGGGCCTGCGTGTGAGCGCCTGCCTGCCTTCTCCACTTTTGTGTTCACCTTCTCGTGGTCAAGTTAGCTCTTTAATTATCTGGGTTGCATTTGTACCAAGCGAAGTCCAGGAAACGTGTCCTGACGGAAATTTCTTAGTAATTTGAGTAGAAACAAGAAGGGGCAGAAGTGAGTCACCACAGCACATGGTGGGTACCGCC